AGACCAAAGAAGATCTGGAAGGCAATGGGGAAACGCCAGACAAGGTCATCGGGGCCATAGTGAGCGCCAAAATCAATCCAGTATGCGATGGCGGTACCAATGGCGATCACACCACCCTCGATACAGATCAAGAGACCACGGTTGCTTGTCTTGGAGCACTCGGCCTGGTATGTAGGAATGGTAGAAGTGTTCATTCCGTTTCCGATACCGGTGATGACACGGCCAATGAAGAACTGCAGAAGAGGGATGTGTCCAACAAATGAAGTAACCTGGATGATGACACCGACAATCATAACGATAGCGCCAGAGAAGATCATCCAGCGACGACCAGTGCGATCACCGAAAAGAAGGGCGAAAATGGCACCCGCCAAGCATCCTGCAAATAGAAAGGTTAGGATCGGTTGCGAACAAAAAGAGCGGGAATCAAGAATACTAACCAAGTTCGTACACAGCAGTCACAAGAGCTTGCATAGTAGCATCATCTTTGGTAGCAGTAAAGACATTGGCAAAAGCATTGTCACTGATGATACCAGACATGACACCCTCTGTCGCCTGTATTAGCTTGATTCAGCTGAAAATGACATCGTAGAGCAATCCACTTACGGTCATATCCAAAGAGTAGGAAACCCATCGTGGCAACAGTCGATACAGCCAGCGACAGTGGCCTGCCCGACATGCCAGCATATGAGGGCGCCATGATGAGAGGACAGAACAACAACGTTCGACAGACGGGTTAGAGGAATAGGTATGTACAGAGGTAAGGGAGGACCTCCAGGGCGAACCGACAACAAGATTCTCGGTGCTGTTGTGCCCAATGCGTCTTTTCCAGAAAAGAACGAAAGAAAAGGAAAGAGAGGTTTAAAAAACAATGAAAGGCAACTCACAGAACGCGGAGAAGTCGGGGCGAAGGGGGGTATTTCTACTTCTCCAGGAGTCAATAGACAAGACAGCTGTGGCCACCAGGTACACAGGCCGACACTCTCTCCTCATTCCCCCGATCGATACATGCTCCACCAACCTACCAACACTCATAGTCGGCGGTACCACTGTTTTGTGGAGCAAGGGACTGAACGCATCAATAATCGCAGGATAAGCATTTTCTTGGGTGCAGCCCACGACCCACAGTGGATTCGGGATGAGCGCCAAGAATGACATCACGGGCTCCATCAGATGGAGCACCCGCAGAGGAACGGACAAGAGCGACGACAAAACAGATTGAAGCCTCGGACAAGAAAAGAGGGTCCGTCTGAAGCGCTGGTCATCGTCATTTGGCACCACACCTTCGGCACTTGCTACCACCTTTCTGCGACCAGCAGTTAACAGTGACAGGATCACCACTCTCGCTTCCTCTTCGTAAGCGAAATCTCTGCTGCGAGACCTCCTCCACCAGGGGCTCTTCCGTGTCTCCACACCCTACTCCTGTCCGCTCCTCCCATTCACCGTTCGCATAAGGAAATACGTATGTCCGCTGACTGGAGTACCAGTTAGAATTGAGATGGACAAATCAGACATGGGGCGAGGATAGGTTGACTTACCACTTCTGTATTCGGTACTCAACCAGGAAAATAACACGAGTTCAAGATCCCATGGGGTTTTTCACGTGCCTGATGAGGTAATCCGCATTGAACCACAATCGAATCAACCACAGGAGGAGCCAAGGTGGTTGATTATGTTTGTGCAACGCATAGATTAGTACTAAGTTTCATTCATTGCTAGGTGTCTTTCATCGGCGCAGAGTACATCCTAGTTCTATTACTCCGTACTATCGTCAAAATGATGGATCATTGTACGCCATCCCGTCATCCCGCGCTCGGCAGCCAATGTCGGCCCAGACTCAACGGGAAGTGACCGTCTTCCGACCACTTAGTGTCGGCAACCTGCAAGGCAGACGCATACATTTACTGAATACAATAAATTCGGAGCCAACGATGACCCTCCTAATCATTTTGTCCAATAGTCGTGGTGGGTGAAGATTGATTGTGATTCGACGCCGAAGTATCTGAAAGCATGGGACGCATGCGGTTATAAGGACGTCTCTCCACTTTGCCCAGTCCTCCTCTTCAATGTCTGAATAATCGCTTCATAATAACAACCAAACTGTTATATGAGCTTGTATGGCTCATTTAATTACTTCCCCTTAATATTTGCCCTCGCCTGTGACCACAGCATTATTTGACTCCATATTGATACCATGCCATCGTCTGCCTGACCCAATCGTAGCGTTTTCCGGTCTCTATCCGGCCCATCTCCGGTGCATGAGGTTAGAGTCAACTAAGTCGAAACGGTTCTTTAGTGCATACTTCAGATGCAACAGTCCACTACTCTCTGAATCATGCCAGATGCAAGTTTCTGCTCCCTCGAGGCAGCCTCCTATGTCAACTCCCGTGCGCCATCTTCTCCGCGCTGAGGGGCAATCCTCGAGCGCGCGGGATATTATCATCATAACTACGTCAACGTGGGATTTAAGAAAACTCTTCTTCACAAGCGCCAAGCGCCAAGCGCGACAAGCAACAAGCGAAGAAATCTGAAGCTCAAAAGTCTTTTATCTTGGTCGAACTAAGAGTCGGACAAGCGCACTCGGCGCGCAGTAATTCATGCAATGACAGTTTACGCCAAGAGGGACCATGTGGAGGCGATTGAAAATTTAGATTTAATGCAGAGATCGGGAGTGGCTGCTGGGCGCCTGGAGAAAAAGCCACCAACCGAGAATTGTCATCATAAAAATGTTTTGCCTGATTCTTATTTAAGCACGATGGTCAACGAATCATTGTTCCTGCTCGGACATTTCCCCTGTGGCGTCATACCATGTGCGAGGTGGTAGAAAGGTTACAACCGCCGATTTGGCACAGTGTTCAAAGTAACTCTGCCATCTACGTAAGTGGCACAATCTTGGTTTGTGTAGGGCTAGCGAGTAAAAGAGATACACTAGGAGTTAAATAAGTACTGTGTAAGGCAGGTCCCAGGTGCAGGTCCAAGTAACCCCATTGGAGAGGGGAAACCCACCAGTCTTGTTAGACAGACCTCGCTTAATGTCCGTGTAGATAGACAACTCAGTTTCAGATCTCAGTGTATCTTACAATGAGATGTAGTGAAAGATGACAGTGATATCAAAGAAATTACCGTGATATCCCCATGACTTCGGCCAAAAGCATACATGGAAATTTTTTAGCATAGATAATTACCTGCTATTGTTAGACTAATTCTATGCACTCATGCAAGTTGAAAACAAATGTGTTGGCACAAGCTACAGAAAAAGAACCGCTCGATGAATGCAGTTTTCTTCGGGGGAATTCCGGGTCTGTAGCAAACACCAACCCGAGCTAGGAAGGTATCAACAGTTGATCTTTGTCAAGCACACAACGGACGGCCCGATTGTTAGTCATGGATTCGACTTGTTCACTTAACGCCGACCGTTTACAGTCGGCTTTGGCTCGCAAGACTCGGGAATGTGTCACGGAAAGAATGCGAGAAATTCAATGCACCCGATCGCGTTCGGAGAAGGCCTCTTGGCGATGGGACAGCCATCCAGTAACAATGGTTATCATGTCTTACTCAGTGCTCACCGACAATACCTTGAAAGGAAAACGGAACCAAACGAAAATCGTGCGAGATTGAGACGAGTGACGGTGAGCGAGACGAGTAGCTGAGTTGTGCTTGTGCCACGGAGTCCGCTGCACGAGGGGAAATGGGGTGTCATTATGCTCATAAAAGGTTACCAATATTTATACATCGATTATACTCAAGGAAGAGGGTCGAAACATTAAGGAAGGTAAGCAGCAAAAGCTGATGGAGGAGACTTGGAATTTATATTGCTTCGACTGAATCAGATACTACACTGATCGCCGGAAGTACCGGCTTGAATGAGGCTATAATCATGCATTGCTGTACGGATAGAACTGCTCACCCTCCCCAAAAAGGGATGCATCACCTTCACTTCGGCATAGTCGGCTCCGAACCACCATAGCTTGCAGGTCTTGTGAAATTATCCGAGCGGATAAATCAACTGTGGCATTAGATACATTATCGCGAAGCACGACTCGGGTGAGATTGCGGAACCAATGTGAGCATCACGATCCGTACGGAATATTTTGTCTGCTCTGCAGAGAGTACCCCGTTTTAAGCGGTGCATGTTCTGAGGTGCCAGTTACTGCTCATATTGTTTACGTTCTGGATCCTGACTTGAATAGAGCTTCGCCGGTCGACTGTCTCAATAGTGGCTGGCTTTTCTAGCCTCCTCAACACTGCAAAAGAGAGCCGATAAGCTCAGCCGTGTTTCCATGAGACAAAGAACATCTTATTGTTCCCTCGTGGGTCTGGTTTGTTAATGCTCTCAAACTGCAGACAACTTCAGTCCTGTATATCACGTGACCATAAATCGAGAGATGGGCCTGGCTAACCAGGAGGGGCGTCCATAATGTCATGACTTAACGAGTCCAACAATCATACCTTATATATTATTGCGTAGCCCTCTAAAGAGAAGATTGGATTTTAACTCTGAATCGTCCGAATCTCATACTCTTCTCGGGCGAATTCCCTTCCATTACGTGCTGTTATCCGATCCAGTGTCATGAAGATAAAGAGTCGGCCGAGAAAGCAACATCGCCCGAATGTCTCTCCCCCGCAAACCGCAGCTGGGCTTCCCCAGGGCCGAAGATCGCTGGTCTTCAGCCACTCAGACAGCTGTCCCATCACCACTCATCGACCAACGATTGACCTCGGATTTTTGCTGAATCGGTCCTAATTCGCTGTCGATTATACCGAGGTGCTCCAGCCATCGCAGGCGTAATTATTTTATTAGCGAACGTCTACTTTTTGGACCCTCATACTTTCGACCAGAGTGACCACACGGACTTCAAATAGGGACTCGTTCGGGCTTCAGAGCGATCATTAATATCTCTTTCAATTTACATTAAAGCCGGCCATATATTATCCCTGGACCCTTTCCTCAATTATTTCTTTCGTCCCTGATTCCTCCCCGTTTATCAGAGATAGTCGTCACGATGAGACAAGGGAAGCTCACTGGCGCTGAAGTCGCCAAGCACAAGTCCAAGGACTCCTGCTGGGTTATCGTACATGGGAAGGCGTACGATGTTACAGAATTCCTGCCAGGTACTGTTTCCGTATAGCTTACTTATTATGATAGCACACTCACAATGACCAGAACACCCAGGTGGACAGAAAATTATCCTGAAGTACGCCGGAAAAGATGCGACTGAAGAGTTCGACCCAATCCACCCTCCCGATACATTGGACAAATACCTTGACCGATCGAAACACCTTGGCGAAGTGGACATGGCAACCGTTGAACAAGAAGAGAAGGCTCATGACCCCGAAGAAACCGAACGCCAGGAGCGGATCAAGCGGATGCCTCCACTGCAGGCTTGTTATAACTTGATGGACTTTGAGACCGTCGCTCGCAGCGTAATGAAGAAGACTGCGTGGGCTTACTACTCGAGTGGTGCGGATGATGAGATTGTACGTGGATTAATGGGATGGCAATTATACGAGGTTGTCTCGCTAACTTGATCTAGACTATGCGCGAGAACCACAATGCCTTCCACAAGATCTGGTTCCGTCCGCGAGTACTAGTCAACGTAGAGAACGTTGACTTCAGCACGACAATGCTGGGTACCAAGGTCTCTGTGCCCTTCTATGTAACAGCGACTGCACTTGGAAAATTGGGCAATCCGGAGGGAGAAGTTGTCTTGACTCGTGCGGCTCACAAACACAATGTCATTCAAATGATTCCCACCCTGGCCTCTTGTTCGTTCGACGAGATTGTGGATGCGAAGCAAGGAGACCAGGTACAATGGCTGCAACTCTACGTGAATAAGGACCGCAACATCACCAAGCGCATTGTTCAGCACGCCGAAGCACGCGGCTGCAAGGGTCTTTTCATCACGGTCGATGCGCCGCAGCTCGGCCGTCGCGAGAAGGACATGCGGTCCAAGTTCTCCGATGTTGGTGCCAGTGTTCAAGCCAGTGGCGGGGACGAAGTGGACCGCTCTCAGGGTGCCGCTCGAGCCATCTCATCCTTTATCGATCCTTCTCTTTCCTGGAAGGACATCCCCTGGTTCAAGTCCATTACCAAGATGCCCATCATCCTCAAGGGGGTACAATGCGTGGAGGACGTCCTGCGCGCAGTCGAGGTGGGTGTGGATGGTGTCGTCCTCTCCAACCACGGCGGTCGCCAGCTCGAGTTCGCCCGGTCGGCCATCGAAGTCCTGGCCGAGGTTATGCCTGCCCTCCGCGAGCGCGGCTGGGAGAACAAGATCGAGGTCTACATCGATGGTGGCGTCCGTCGCGCCACCGATATTCTCAAAGCACTCTGCCTCGGTGCCAAGGGCGTCGGTATCGGGCGGCCCTTCCTCTTTGCCATGTCCACGTACGGCCAGCCCGGCGTGGAGCGCGCCATGCAGCTCCTCAAGGACGAAATGGAGATGAACATGCGCTTGATCGGCGCCAGCAAGATTGAGGAGCTGAACCCTAGCCTGATCGACGTCCGCGGTCTGACCAGTGGCCACCATGCTCCGGTGCCGTCCGACACATTGACCCTTGGTGCGTACGATCCGCTGCAGGCTCCGCGATTCAGCGAGAAATCTAAGCTGTAGTTTCGAGACGCCTATCTCTCATCATATACCCATTTAGTTAGGACATGATTGGTCATGTTTCATATCTGCCTGGAGTGAGTGTACATTTAGGAAGTGGATGTATATATTGTCTGGTCATCAAATAGACGCGATATCAGCGAATGCACAGCTTATATATTCATTTCGCCCCCTTCTGTTCAGCTAAGTTATACTTCGTCACAACAGAACTGTAAAGGATTCATACAACCAGATGGCGATATGCAGAGATTATCCAGTCATTAGAGAACCAACCTATTTACAAACTCCCCCAAGACCACTAATCTAAACGTTACAACACCACAACCTGCGGTTTATTCCCCAACCGCCCTGTATTCCTATACATACAAGCCGCATTCACCATCCACCCACAGCCCCGATTCTCACCACCCCAGACCTTCGCCCACACAACCCCAAGTACACCATACGCGACGACCCGCGCCGCATCCAGCCAGCCATGAACATCAAACAAGTCCCGCAGGAACCCAAAGACGGACATCAAACGACCGTATCTGGCACGCGGCCGCCGCGCCGCACACAGCCGCTCCCACGCCTTCTGCGCCTCGTCCCAGTAGACCGGCTCGCTGCCGTATGCTTCATGGACGTGCCCGAAGACGTGCAGCGCGGGGCGGACGCGCCACGTTTCGGCGAGGAGGAACGGACAGCCTGTGGAGTAGACGGGGGATAAGTCCAGGTGCGCCTGTGGCGGGGTGTGTGTGATCAGAATGTCAGTGTCCGGGGGGATGGTGCCGGACCAGGCATCGTGTTGTGGGTGGTACGTGAAGGCGTGCTCGGAGGTGAAGGGGACGATGGCGGGGATTTGGGGTGCGCCGTAGATGGTTAGGGAGCGCGGGCGGGCAGCGGAGTGGGCTGGGGACGGCGCGGGGAAGGAGAGGGTGATGGAGGAGTGTTGAAGGTAGTGGATGTCGCCCCAATTGATGCGGTTGAGGCCGTCTGGGTCGTCGTCGATGGAGCGGATGGAGGCGGTGGAGGAGGAGATGGCTGCGAAGGACGAGGAGGAAGCGTCGCGGTCTTCGTCTCGTCTGGAGCGAATGTCGAAGTAGCTGTCGTGGTTGCCGCAGATGACTACTTTGTGGGGGTGAGGCAGCGTCTGGAGCCAGTCGACTGCGGCTTGGATTTCACGGATGCTTCCGTCATTGCAGAGGTCGCCTGCGTGGATAAGCAGATCGCCGTCCGGGACATCGTCCCATTCTAGTGTGTGGGTGTCGGAGATACAGACAACGCGGATGGGGTGCGCATCGGGCGAGGGTAGGCGTGGAGGGCCGCGCAGTCGGAGGAGGAGATGATGGATGGGATAGAGCAGCACAGTTAAAGGAGAGGAGAACAAATAGTCCGGTAACGGTCGGCGATCAAATGGAGAAGACATGCTTGTGAAGCCCTTGAAGACCTCAGGCGGTGCTGTGGATGCTATGTACAGGTGGATGAATGAGGGGACGACTTTATGCCCAGCCAAGGTACCAGATGTCGGTGTGGAGAAGGTGACGTTGCCGCTGTTAGAGAGAGTCGAGACTCTTTCGAGTCGAATGTTAAAAGTTAACAATGACAGGCTGGACGACTTCAGCAAATTTTATCGAGAATATCTGTTCATTGAGCTTTCTCATCCTTGAATTAGAATAACAGCCCGTTACTATATTCTGTGTATCGCTCTCTCAGTCTTGGAGTTTGAGCTGTTCCCGCTCAATGTCTTTCGATACGGGTGCCTGAGGCCTTCGATGGAATTGACTTGTTTGAAGCATTTACGTCAACACAACTGCACATCCACCGTTGCAATAACACAAGCTATGCAGGGATATTAAACCATTTTTATAGGGAATCGATCAGTTGGGCAGCTGGAAGCGCATGAACGCCCAACCATCCTATCAGTGGAACCAACTTGCGAGAGGAACTATGTGCGTGTTCATGCCCTGCATATGTATGCTCATGTACCAAGTCCTCGATCAAAATAAGCATTGAAGGACTTGATAGCCTCTCATTACATCATTTTCTGACAGCTGAATGGGGGCTGTTCATGTTGACGACCACCGGTGTGATCAGACATCTCAAGACGATGGCAGAATAGCATTCATTAGCTTTCTCATCACTAGGCGCGTTAAGAGGTTCATCAAGCGATATGTTGAGGAAGTCCAGGCCTGTTAGTCGATGCTATCCTTTATGGAATTTTCCTAGAGGGCCACATTCCTTTTACTGTTGAAGAATTGAAGACGAATCAATTGGCCAACGAATCAGAATGACATTGTTGAACCCAGTTGTGTAGGGCGCGATATCGGGTACACTTTAAGGCACTTGAAGGGAACGACCATGATGGATCCGGGGTAACACCGTGCATACTCCAGTGGATATCCATCATCAAATGGTCAGTACTGGGCCAGTCAGCTTCTGGCCCAAGGGCCATCGAACAGAAGGATCAAGGGAAAGGATGAATCTGTTCTATCGTCATCATTGAGATGGTCCCCTCATCCGCCATGTTCCTGTTCCTTAGTCCCCCTCCGTCTCCCAGGTACCTCTAAAAGCCTGTAGTCCTAAATCATCAATGCACGACTCCAGTTTGATCTTCCAAGCGATGATTGATCCCGCGCTGGTCAGGTCTGACCTCTAAAGGGTAAGAGACTAGCATCCTTCAAGCCCCAGTCACGATTTGCCACATCCGTTAAGTTGATTGTTGTTGCTGGCTTGTCAACATCGCTTGAAGAGAAAACGGCTGCTGCTTGCGGACATTCCTGTCGGCTGCATTTCCATCTACCACACCACCAGGGTGTTGCAGTTCTTCTTTCTGCTGTTTAATTCGTTCCAATTCGTTGAGTATCTCAATCGACAACGCTAGGAGTCGATCGGATCTTAGATCGTCAAAAGTTACTATTACCATTATTGCCCCGAGCCCCCTCTATATATGTGTTCGGCCTTATCGTTTGCGTCATATACGCACATCCTTCTACCTTGAATATTCCGTTCATTTTCGTATCTCGTCCCATTCACAATTTACTCTACTCCTTCTCCCCTTGTCAAAGCATCTATATTTCCCCAATACTACGCCTCATCCCACTGATCTCCTCCGTCATATTGGGTTGCGGTCGCGGGCGCTGAACCAACCCCTCATAGAATCGCACAATCGGTGGCACCCCTCCGCCGCCAGACACAACGAGCTTGGCTGGACTCAGCTTCGCCTTCTCCGGCCCAACACCTTGTGCCCCTCCTTCTCCAGATCCTCTCGATTTAAACCTTCTTCAACCCGCATCGATCCTCCGATATCCAAACGATGGACGGGGTAGATATAACCAAGGCCGTCATCAACAAGGGAAAACAAATGGCAAGCGTCGCTGCGAATGCTGCAAATGGCAATGGCGGTAGGAAGAAGAGAAAAGGAACTGATCTGAAGCCGATCGTTACCAACGACGCCGCCTCACCTGCCATCGATCCATCTGCCACAACTACTGAGGGGTATGCTTCGCTCTTGCTTTTCTTCAGCATTGTCGCTCCGGTGTTCTTTTTTTACGACAGAATTTTTCTTCTTTCTTTGCCCTTTTTTCTCTCCGCTCTTATACCCGTTCCTCCGTTATCATAGCGCGATTTGATTCTTTTTCCTAACCAACATGAGTGGCAGTGTCCCCGTCAAGTCCGCATATGATTTGCCGCCGTCGCGGTCGGCCTCTTCATCGTCCGCAGAAGAACTCGAAACCACTGCCGAAGAGGAAGACTCGGAGGACTACTGCAAGGGTGGTTATCATCCAGTCACCGTGGGCGAAACATACAACAATGGACGGTACGTCGTCGTGCGCAAATTGGGTTGGGGTCATTTTTCCACCGTCTGGCTGTCCCGCGATACCACCACCGGAAAACACGTTGCGCTCAAAGTTGTTCGCTCCGCCGCGCATTACACCGAAACCGCTATCGATGAGATTAAGTTGTTGAATAAGATCGTTCAAGCGAAACCTTCCCATCCCGGCCGGAAACATGTTGTCAGTCTGCTCGATTCATTTGAACACAAGGGTCCAAATGGTGTCCATGTATGCATGGTGTTTGAGGTACTGGGGGAAAATTTGCTTGGCCTGATCAAGCGCTGGAACCATCGAGGTATTCCCATGCCACTGGTGAAGCAGATTACGAAACAGGTGTTGCTGGGCTTAGATTACCTGCACCGGGAATGCGGCATCATCCACACAGACTTGAAGCCGGAGAACGTTCTGATCGAGATTGGCGATGTGGAACAAATTGTGCAGACATATGTCAAGGAGGAAGCGAAGAAGGAGAATAAAGACGATAGCCGCAGCGGCCGGCGACGGAGGAGAACTCTCATCACCGGGAGTCAGCCATTACCCAGTCCACTCAACACGAGTTTCAGCCATCATGATTTCAAGCACAGCTCTTCCAACTCACACAGCAGTCTCAGCCAGGTTATTGAATCATCCAGTACGTTTTAAACAAACTCGCCCCGTGACATCCCAAGCTACGCCCGCTGACAATCTGCAGACGCATCTACGCAAGAAGGCGCGTCGATGAAGGAGTTGTTAGGTATAAAGGCGGACGAAAAGCAGAAAGAGCGGGAGAAGACTACGTATGTTGGAAACTGATTCTGGCCCATATCTGGAAGGTCTGATGCACTGACACGGGCTTAGTGATCTGCTGGAGAGAGAGGTTTCAGGGATCTCGCTTGACAAGCAATCCTCTAAAGAAGAAAGCGAGGATCCTCTGTGTGACATCATCTCAGTGAAGATTGCCGACCTGGGGAACGCGTGCTGGGTTGGTCACCACTTCACCAATGATATTCAAACACGACAGTACCGCTCGCCAGAGGTCATCTTGGGGTCGAAGTGGGGTGCGAGCACAGATATCTGGAGTATGGCTTGCATGGTTAGTTCGGAGATTATATACTTCTTTTGTTCTAGCGAAAGTGATCAACTGACTATTCCGATAGGTATTCGAGCTTATTACAGGTGACTACCTTTTCGACCCCCAGTCGGGAACAAAGTACGGCAAAGACGATGATCACATTGCACAAATCATTGAGCTACTCGGTCCTTTCCCCAAATCACTGTGTCTTTCTGGAAAGTGGTCGCAAGAGATTTTCAACCGCAAAGGAGAACTTCGGAATATCCACCGGTTACGCCACTGGGCTTTGCCTGACGTCCTACGAGAGAAGTATCATTTCTCGGTTGAAGAGAGTATGCGCATCAGCGAATTCCTGCTACCGATGCTGGAATTGCCCCCCGAGAAACGTGCCAATGCCGGTGGTATGGCTGCGCATGAATGGCTGAGCGACACTCCCGGGATGAAGGGTGTTGACCTAGGTATACCGCCTGGTAGTAAAGGCGAAGGGATCGATGGATGGGCCTCGGAAGTCAAGAAACGATAAGTCAAACAAAGCCAGGAAGCATATCAGACATGAGTCAGTGACGATCTCTTACCTATTTATTCCTTTTCCTCTTCTGTGTGGATCCTCGTCGATTACCATTTGGTTCTGTTTTGGCAATGGACAGGGGTGTTATGATTTATTTCCTTGTTGCATGATGCCCATATGCCTCTCTCAATAAGTGTGGGGCTCGTTCACCCTCACTGCCCGTTCTCTACAATCATAGAGCCTGATAGCCTCTGTTGTGTTATACGTCCGACCCTACTCGGAGTTGGTCTCGCGCGGCCACTTCCAGGTCGTCTTCTTCATAGATTCAATGCCCGAAAGATTTACGACTCCCTCGTTCTTCGGCACGGTAGCTTCCCGCTAGTTCTTTGACACACGTCTGTTAGGGATATATGAAGTTTGTGTTCATCGAAGCCAGCTGCAGAGTACGATTGTGGTGCGGAGGTACAAGTTTCTGGTTGATACTGAGCAGACTCTTGCAAAGGGTCTGTGGATACATGAATGATATGAGATACGCGCCTAGACGTCTAGACCAACCGAGTGAAACCTAGAGAGTAGAGACCGTAGAACGATCACTTTCTCCCCTTATTGAGCGTCGTCTTCATCTTCACTATCCTCGGATTCCTCCCCAGGCAAACGTTCCGGGAACCAGCCATAACGCGCAAAATCTACGTAGAAGTCACCCATGCTATCCGCATCGACCTCGACACCTTCCTGGCGCAGCGCCTCGGCCTGCCGCTCGGCACTCCCAGGACCCCTGCAAAAATCAGCACCATGGAATTTGAAGAGCATCTCATCAACGTACCGATGAGAGATCATCCCTTTGGAATTAACCACCCGCTGCCAGGGCACATTGCCCGAGTGGAAGTGCTGCGAGGTATCTGAGGGGAGATGTTTGAGACAGACTCCAACCTGGCGGGGTCGTTTAGCTATTACATCGATTAGCTTTCACCCTACGGTACGGCAGATAAGAAAGGAGAATGCGAAGGGGATCTACATACGTTCGCCGAGTAGAA